TAATAATAATAATAATAATAATAAATAATAATAATATATAAAACGCTTACTACACAGAAATATAAGCACTAGAGTTTATTAGGCCAAAAATCAACACCTATGATAAATGTGTACATCCATACACGAAAATTGGTTTACTTAAAATACAATTAACTGCCAAATATCTTTACTTCAAATATACGTCTTTATATGCGATTGAAAAATATGTGAACGCGACTTCAACGCATTGATATTTAGCCTTGTAAAATTGTTCGAAAATAAATAGATTATTTTGTAAAACATGTAGATTTCGTCTCAAAGAATTTCATCTGCTTCAATAGTATAGTAGGAAAATTATCTGTTTTAATAAACCACTTAGTTGCTTACCTGAGCAACGGTTTCAGCAACTGTTTCGGTCATTTTCTTCAGACTAATGACCCCTTGGATGGATCGGGTCATTCAAGCTTCTCTAACACAGTTCTGAATGGTTTTATTCATACCAGCATAAATAAATATTTAAATACACAAATGTCTATGCTGCAGTTGAAAATCTTTACGTTTCGTTAAAATGAACAATTTAGTTTTTAAATTGATTTTCTTTGTGGTAATGTTGCATGCAGGAAAAATACCTATTTAATTGTTGTAATAACAACACTTGAGTATTCTGTTCATTTAATAATTATGAGGTAAATAATCTTACACGAGCGAGTGAACCTAACATATGCTTACATATCATTATTTGTGTATTAGGAATGCACGATAATATCAATAATTTGAATATTAACACAGTGAATAACACATAATCTTAATAAAATTATCAAACGCATCGAAACGAGCGTTTTCGTTTGCAAGTCGGGAGTGCAGCTAACCGTAAGAATGTACATTTGTTTTTAAAAGGAAAACAGCAGGAAATGCCCACAAAAATCTTACGACTGTAGATTAAAGAAGATTCTAGAGTTTTCTAAGTGCGTCCTTTTCAATAAATAGGTTATACTATATGACATTAGTACACTTGTCATTGTCAGCAATTGTTACACGTCATGCACTGTTCTTTATTACATGTTGTAACTACATTCATTTTAAACCTGTACAGAATAATAATTGTCTGAAAATAATATAAATATATACAATTATTCGTATATTTCTTTTGTTCATGAAACATTTGCTCTAATTTACAAATAGTATGATCTTTAAATTTAAATATTTAAACTTCACAAGTTCACAAGTTGATTTACATTTAAAATGCAACAGACCCTGGTGTGTGAGGGCGCAAGTCATCCATATCAACACAGTGCTTGGGGTCAAAATCTTTAACATGAACGTGTTCCTGAAAATAAAATAAAATTTAAATGTACAATTATCCATGAAATACATCTTAACTGAACGACAAGCGTAAGATATGTTAATTATTTGGTGTGTGAATGAAATCAAAATTAAATGCATAAAACAAACAGCTTCTTGTTATGGCAAACAAACGTTTTATTTTTATATTTAAATAATAAAGTTAAATAATAAAATAAGTTAATTGTCTAGTTGGTTGACTTCCAATTGTATTGTCATGGGTACAAATCCAAAGAAATGATAGTATAACACATGTTCCAATGTACGGTAAGTTGTTTGTGAATGAAATGTGAACATTCATGATTAATCGAAGAGGATTTTATCCATAAAACATCGATATTTGTGTCATAAAATTGGTAAACACGTGTCCAAAACAAAGCAAGAATATTATTCACGTGACCAGCACTACAACAATATGGATTTCCAGAGGGAGGTATTAATCGAACCAAATGTGGACCAGGTTATATACAGGAAATGGGTTGTCTATTTGTCTTGTGTTTTGACGGAGCAGGATGTGAAATGATTAACATCTGTGTAGTTCAGATATATCTATTTTGTTTCTTCATCGTTTCTTCGAAAACATCTTTTTCACCGGTATGGAGAAGGTTTTGTGGATATTGAAAGGAAGTGACGAGAATTGGATAAATATTTTTGAGGCAGATGTACATGGAGAGGTGGCTGTGTACTCACGTGACTTTACTTAGTAAAGAACAATAGTAATTATAAACATGTACATTGACGAAAAATAAAAAATATGTTAGTTAAGAGTGCATCTGTGTGGTGTAGATATTGTTTTGCACTGTCATCATAAAAAGGTAAACTTTCAATATTTTAATGGGTCATAAATGGGTGTTCAGTGGGAGCAAATTGTCTCCAGGGCATCGTGTTGCCTCGTGCAGGTAGGCCTAAGGCATGGCATTAAACATGTGACTGGAAGCATTGTCTTGTGTTTTGACGGAGCAGGATGTGAAATGATTAACATCTGTGTAGTTCAGATATATCTATTTTGTTTCTTCATCGTTTCTTCGAAAACATCTTTTTCACCGGTATGGAGAAGGTTTTGTGGATATTGAAAGGAAGTGACGAGAATTGGATAAATATTTTTAAGGCAGATGTACATGGAGAGGTGGCTGTGTACTCACGTGACTTTACTTAGTAAAGAACAATAGTAATTATAAACATGTACATTGACGAAAAATAAAAAATATGTTAGTTAAGAGTGCATCTGTGTGGTGTAGATATTGTTTTGCACTGTCATCATAAAAAGGTAAACTTTCAATACATGTGACTGGAAGCAACATAAAGCCCACTTTAGACGAAGCCTTTTGTATTAAAAGGGCAATAAAGGTTTGACTAGTGACCTGACATTGAGCTGCAAATTGAAATTTTAAAAGACAATGGTTAAATAGAAAGTTATTTTCTTTATTTTTCTTAAAGTTATTTTCCTGAAGCATGGTTCAGAGCCACAATAATATACTTTTGCATTAGCGCTTGTATTACTTACTACTCCTTCTGCATTCATCTTCCAGAGCATTGAGGCAAGAGCCTTGAATGACGGTCTTTTACTGGGATCTTCATTCCAGCAGTACATCATCACATTGTACCTTATTAGAACAAATAATTAATAACACAATGATATGCAAAAATACTGAGGATAATGTTTTTGTAAGTCTAATAGTTTATTACTCCAGCTCTACTTTTTATATAATTAAATTCGATCGAATCATTATTGCTGAGCAGATATTAAGGATACCAGATTATTAAATTTAAAATTCAAAAGAACAATATATTCTTAATTTCTACAGATTCAAAAAAAAAAAATATCGACAGGCAATTGATATTAGGCTTGCATTTTGTGATAAATAAAAGGCGGTAAAGTCGTGGGAAAATTCTGGCTGACAGTTAAAAACTATTCCAGGACAGGTAATAGAAAATGAAAGCATTATGCTGTGTATTAAACAGCCGTCATCCAGTTGGACTGTTTAACCTTATGAGCATGCGCTCATCTTAAACTGACTGCTTACTTTCTGTTGCGCAGTCGCAAACTGTGTGACTCACAAGGGAAGATCTAAAGAGTTTTTACTATGTTTCATATAGTGACATGCAGTCAACACGTGCCTGGCCTTGTGGGGGTTTATATTGACACCAGCAGCTGATGTACATGGTACAGGTGCAGTAGTGGGGCCCGCGAGACATCCATACACAGGAGTTGATGATTTTTATATTAGTGATTTCTAAGGCAGCTTGTTTTTCCATGTATTGATAGTTAGATGAAAATACAATTATTGTATTTCTGATAACGTTTGTGAATCAATGAAAATATGATTTGTCATTGTCATTGCTGATTTCACTTTAAGATATAATATAGTTACGCCAAGGAAATAGCTTGAGGGTTTTTGTTGATAATATTTCTTAGTCGTCTATTAGAAAGCTTTGGTTAAACAATAGACAGCTATTATATATTTTTTCTAATATTGCACAAATATCATTAATTTACACTTTAAATACATATACTTTATTATATCGATAGAGATCTGCGTTGTTTATCTTAATTTAAACACTGCATACGTTCCTGTAATTACATCATACAATGAGCGGACAAAAACAACTGAAAATATTCATGAACACGAAGCTCAAGTCTTCATGTAAGCTAGTAGCGATTCAATAGAAACGACTAGTACTCAATAGCCTAAGTAAGTACATATAAATAATTTAAATCTGATTTAGAACTGTGAAAGAGAAGGCCAAAGTTTCAGATTAGTAGCATCTTCAAGATAAAATACTTACAGTTCCTTTGAACAATACGGCTGTGGCATGCGGTATCCAATTTTAATGCGAGATTTGATCTCCCTTCCAGACATATCTGGGTACGGTGTCGAGCCTATGTGAACAAAAACATTGGTATAATTAAATGGGAGTCCTGTTATATAATCAGAACTAAATTAATTTTAACATTTTGACAATATTGAATGAATCAGTTGTAAAACGATTGTGTAGAAGAGCATTAGTATAGGAAAACCTACCGGTATGTGAATATTATGATGTTGATCCATATCCTATATCATGTTATTAATATAATCATAAGATAACAATTTGTGTATACGAATTTATTCAGATACGTTTGCCTGAATATTATGGATGCACAACAGAAAAACACTGGTTCTGCTGCCTGAAAGAGGTTACTATTCCTTCACAATGGCATCATTATTATTTTTTTTAAAATCTAATTTGTAGGCTTTTATTAAATACACAGATAATATGATGTGTTTAGATATTTATTCATTTAATTGATCTTTTGTTTTACAGTGTGGTGACACTGTTCACTGATTCACCATTTGCTTGAGATTGCATTGAGTTAAAGCCTGACAGGTGGTGGTAAAAGTTGATACAGACGACAGGCAGACGTTTTGTGACGTCAGTACCACATAACTTTGTATGGAAAATCTGATAAAACCAGTGATATCAAGTAAATAGTAAAGTGAATGTTTACATACCGAAATTAACAATCTCCCAGAGAAGAACACCGAATGACCAAACATCACTCTGCGCAGTTTGAACGCTTGCGTATATAGATTCTGGACTCATCCACCTTAAACCAAGACGTCCCTTGGTGAAGAAGGAGGTAAAAAAATGTTTAGTTATTATGTTTTTTTGTGTTTATATATTTTTCATTAAGAAAATACTTGCTTTTTAATCTCAATAGACCTACTCTGGGTTATAATCCTGCGACACCTAATAGACATTTCGACTTTCTAAAAACAACATGAGATTTGGGTTATAGAGGATCATATTTTTTTGATAATTATTTAAGATTTTTCCGATTATCAGCTGACCATCTGAGGTAAGCTAGACATGTATTTATAAAGATTATGGTTTAAAATAATTAAAGAACGTCTAGTAGTTTATTCAATTTGTAATTCGATACTAATTATTGACGACAAGTTGTAACAAAACAGACGTTGAAATTACAGTACATATTTCACTTGGTGAATTATTACTTTAGATAAAAGTTTAGCTGAAGCATTGAAACTTACATCAGCAACATTCTCAACAACGTTCCGTACACGAGCAACATTCGACACTTTGCAGATCATTCTGTCTCCGAGCAACACATTTCCAGTAGTCAATTCTCCATGGCTGATCTTTTTTATTAGATATCAAAAATATATCAATAAAATTGAAAAAAATATCAATATAGATGCTCTATTATCTATCACTACATGCTAGTATTTCTTAGAAGTGTAACTTTTCGAAGAGGCTTATATAATATTCTACATGCAGGTATAGATTCTTTTTGAACCTACACACAATTTTACGGTTATAGTAATAAAGTATAATCAATATTAATGTTTTTTTTAATTAACAATTTTGTTATAACTTGCATAATTTGTTTTTGTGGGTTCATGTATAATCCTACTTATTAACATTTTTTTTTATATATCTTATTGTTTGTGACTTTTAATCTTAGCAAATGTCTAATACTGTACTTTTTCATATCGGGAAGATGCATAATTAATTCCTGTTCCTTGGTAGAGGTCAATTTATATTACATGTTAATTACAACCGATGTTTTAAATAGGCAGATGACACTTATTGGCTAAATTAATTCCGACAGAAAGTACCTTATTTTGGTGAAGATATGTCATCCCTTTAGCGATCTGCACAGCGAAGTTCATTAAGTTCTTCGACATTGGTGGTTTAGCGCCTGGTGTATGTGGCCGGTTGCGTCTCAGGAAGTTCTGTAGTTCACCCTTGGGGGCGTACTCCAGTACCATGTATAGAGGATCTGTCAATCAAATATTTTTTTATATAAGAAATATTTCAACCATATGTCGGACAAAAATAATTTAATTTGTAAATATTGATTGAGGGTTGTTGTTAAATCCATAACACCATTGCTAAATACGTCTCAGATGTGCCCAGTGTGAAGACATATGTGAATAGTCACGTGTCTTTACCTTATAAATTTTCAAGACGGCTGAATGTAATACCTTTTAACACTCAATTGATACTAGATAGAAGCTTCTGCCGTTTCAGCCACGTCAGTGGTGGCGCCAGGGGGGGGG